ATCTAATTAGCATATTTAGTTTCATTAATGTTCTGAGTGGCCAAGACTGAGAAAAGTCACACTAAAATATATTGTTTAAAAAAAAAAATACCTCCAAATCAGTTCTATTCAATATAAGACATCACATTGAGTGTGAGCAGTAATTCCACTATTTTTCTTCTAGAGTAATTCCTAACACTCTGTCATTTGGAAAGCAACTAATTCGCTCAATGCTCCCCTCCCCACGCTGAGCACTGAACACAGGTCCTACACATACTAAGGAATCACTCCTGCACTTACTTGTGTTCCCAGCTTTACTTCTTCTAATGTCTTAGGCTCTCTACAGCACAAACCATGTTCCTAGCATTAATATAAAAACAGTAGTAATTAGCATGCATTGATAATTTAATGTGTGGCAAGGCTGTTGTGTTTTTGGCCAGATATTTTTAGGAGAAAAGCACAAGAAGAATGCACCATTATACCTATTTTACAGATAAGCGAGCTCAAGCTTTCGCACTTACTACACCAGCTCCACCTTGAGCCACATCTGCCTGCAGCTAATGCTGCTCTTATTCACTACTTTTCAAAATCTGAATAAACTTACTATTTGCTATTTATTAGCTACATGTTTGCAGGAAGCTTAATAGGAAAAATCATATAACTGCATTGTATACTTACCACACTCCCCGACTAGAGTAGATAACTGGTTGTCTGGGGTGTATCTGCCCTGCAATCAAGGCAGGGGTTTCTTTGACTCCTAGTTTTCTTAAAGGAGACATGAGATGATGATCAGCACTGAAGCCTCAGTCATGCTGAGGCGGTGGCCGAACAGGGGCTGTGGATACCGCACTCCAGACTGACAGTCCACCTCGCAGGGCTTGGTTCACAGGGGCGCTGCAGCAGGCAATGCACAGCTCCTGTGTTTGGGAAAAGCCCCCAAACCTCAGCCTCTTCACTTGAAAAGAGGGAAGTAACAGTTCTTAATGCATCTTAAGCACCATCGCAATGCTGAGGGTTTTTTCCCAGCACAGAGTTTTCTCCACATACCAAGTTCAAACCAAAGGACCGCAATGTGGCAATACTTCACTCAGCCTTATGAGGACTGCTTTACAGAAAAAGGAAACAAAGGCACAGAGGGAATTTGCAATGTGCATCCAATGGCCTTTTAGCAAATTTAAATATATGCCCGTGATGTAGATCAGTCCTAGGCACACAAGAATATCGTCACCACTGCTGAACCTTCAATCCTGCTGCCCTTGTTGCACCTCATGAAACAGGACACAGACTTTTAGGCTGTCAGAGTGGCATTCGCTTGTGGCCTGCACAGTCTTTCACAGAATGCTTGGGTTGCCCACACCTGTTACACCACATATATCTGTTGTGGCACTTAGGTTGAATGCTGACAGGAGGGAGCCAAGAAGCCAATATGCAGACAGACACCAGCTGCCTCAGAACTGTAGACTACACTGACATAGATGACATACCTGTCCAAACTTGCTCCTCTCCTCAGACCTGTCTGACCCAAAGGTTATAATGAAAACCAAAAATAAATCACTTCACATAAACTGGCTAATGGACAACATGGAAAAATTGCAAAATTCGTTATTGGACATATTTATTAGGGAGACAACATGAGTGGATAGGTGCACTACTCCGGGCTTATAGAACGTACAACCTTTAACTAATCACAGTTACAATGACATTTCCACTTGCTTTAGCCAAACATTTTAAAGGACTAAAATGATGAAATTTTTAAACAAGATAATGATTCATATGGGCATGGATAAGAATTGTCTGCATACTATTCCCTTTGACACTACTGAGCCTTGAGACCAGCAAAGATATTTTGAAATGTCTGGTTAAACAATCAGAAGATAAGTGTAGCTGGGATTATTTTCAGATTCATATGTAATCTTTGACTCTCATAGGTATAAAGAGGAACAAGCCTCCACAGGTAGGTCACCCACCCCTAAAGAGTGTGGCAAAATGAATGAGCAAAAGGACAGTGCATGCCACCTAACAAGCAGGTGCCACCTTGGGCATCAGCACACTGGCTGGTAAGAGGGGATCAGCGTACGAGTATGAGCCATGGTAACCTCTTTGAATAAAAGTTCAGCATCAAAACTGTTAAAGATCAAATATTTCTCTTTCCCCTTAACCTAAAATATTTCCTCCAAATTATCATAAACAACAAAAAATATATACAAAATGAAAACATCGTCCACTCTGTGCCTGGCACTACCAGCACAACACAATCAGCAGCAGCTCTATTTTTCATCTTGGGACTCACAGTCAACAAGCGTCTGACGCGCACTCCATATCCAGTTTATGTTCGGCTTATACTCTCTAAAAGTGCACATCAGACAGGCACTCAAAACGGCCACTGCAGAACCCACTCAAAGTTGCTGGCACGTGTGCCACAGTACAATATCCTTGCTTTAGTGCCTGCCCTACGCAGTCCTAATTG